TAATTATCAGTTTGATAATTATTATTAATATCAGAAAATGTATTCAATATTAATGATTCAATTTGTTCATTATTAAAAACCATATTATCATCTAATTTCACAATATTATTATTAATATCTGTACATATTGGTTCACGACCTTCACCAATTCTTAATAAATAATCAGCAAATTCTTTTTTCTCTTCATCTTGGCTTTGAAGTTTCATATTAATTGTTAATGCCAATGTTTTAATATGTTTTTATAAATAAGAAGATTTAATACAGATATTTACAATTTGTGCTTGTATTCCTCAAGGTACAACAGACAAAATTTGTCTAAAGTCACTACCAATTACAACAATTTTTTCTCCAAATAGTTCATTATTTTCTATTAGATCTTTAAGTGTTTGATCAAGTGCTTCAAATGCATATTTGTGTGCTATTGGTCCTTCATTCCAAATAATAAGCTTACTACTTTGTATTAAATCAGTCAAATCAAACTGTTTACTAATATTTAAAGTTGTAGTTTCAGTAATTTTTAAAGGAATTTTAAATCTGGAATGTACTGTTTTTCCTTCAGTTAATAATAAAACTGCAATTTCAGATGAAACAACAGCAAAAGCAATTCCAAAACTTCTTTTTATTCATGCCAATAGCATGTTGAATAAAAATGTTTTTCCTGTATCTTCAGGTCCATCAACAAAAAAGACTTTTTGTTTGATTGTGTTATTTTCATCATTTGCATTATTTTCATTTAAAACTTTAATAATAGTATTATAAATTAATTTTTGATCAATATTCAAAAGATATTCTTTTTGTAATGTATGATTGATTTCATTTGAATCAAAATCAACTTCCTGATCCCATATACTATATTCTTTAGCATCTTTTACCAAACTATAATCAGGTACAGGAAATGAGTAATCAATTAAATGTTTTTCATAATATGATAAATATTTTTTAATATCTATTAATGCTTTGGTAATGATTACTCGATATTCATCTGCAGTTAATTCATTTTTTTCTGTAAATCTTTTTTGTTTTCTTTCATAATCTTCAACTAAAAAATGTACATTTTCATAAAATAATTTTTTGGATCCAATTCCTGTGGATCACAAAATAGTAAAATTGAAGCAAATAATTGTCGTAATTTTGATGGCATTTTAAAAAATGCAGCTTCCTTAATACATTTATCAAATTCATTATTTTCTTCATCCAATAATCCAAGTTGGCGAGCTGCATCTTCATATGTATTATAAAGTATTCCATTTATAGTTCGAATTGCTTTAAAATTAATAGCACCTTTGACTTGAGCTAATAACATTTGCAAAAAGAATCTTTCTTTTTCATGTGGACTACATATATACATTTTAGAAATAATTTTTTTACTATCTCATTTTTTTATTACCTGAATCTATTATTTCAAACAAAAAATTTTGAAAAATCTATATATCGTAAATTCATTATATTAGGATTATTTTGATTTGTATTACACATATCAAAATATCTTGTTAATTTTGTATTAAAAGATTTTGCCAATACAGTAGATATTTGTTCATTTTGGTTACAATAATAGATTACTGATCTTCTAAATGAACTAGTAATCTTTTAACTTTATGTGATCTTTCTTGCAAGCCAAAATTAAATAATCTTCAATATGTTTCAATAGCAGAAACATATCTTGCATTTATATATTGTTCAATTTCATTTTTAGGATTTTCAATTTTAAGAATAGTTTGATCAGATTTTTTATAAATATATTTGTAAAGATATTTTACTAATCGAATACTTGAGCATATCTCTATATTAATATGACAATTATATTTTTAACAAAGATATGGATTGTAAGGAACAATCCATCTATTATCAATAATATATTATCCTTTTTTAATTGTCCTTCCATTATCTTTTCTTCGGTAAATTGGATATCCAAATTTATTAATTAATGTTGTTATAGTAAACTCTTTATGATAATGTTTACTACATTTACCATTTTTCATACATTGTGAATTTGGATTCAAGTTTTCACAGAGGCCATGAACCATATTTTTGCTTACTGTTTCATAAAGCAGAGGTTGGAGATTTTTATCAGGAATTTCTGCACAAACTATTTTATCAAAATCTTCAGGTGTTTTTGGCTTATCTTCAGATGCTAATATCATAAGAATATGTGTATATGACAGTTCTCTTTTTTGAAATTCAATTGTATGAAAATGTGCAATAACTCTTCCAAGTACACCATTTATAAATAAATCTTGTATAATTGCTTGAAGTTTTTGTTTAAAAACTCTAGCAACTATATCAGGTCTATCAGAAGCTTGTTGTTTTTTATTTTCAGATCTGTTTAATAATTCATTGATTATTTCTGGTCATTTAGGATTGCAAGTTACAGTAACAAATAAATCAGGTTTGCCATATTCTCTAACAATTGCCATAGAATCTTGATATAGTTATTGCATATATCATTGAGATCCAGTAAAAGATAATGTTAAAATAACTTTTTTGCCAATATTTTCTATAGTAGTATTATCAGAATCAACAATGTTCTGTAGACCTGAATAAATTTCAGATCTAAATTGTGATTGATTTTTTCTATACCATTATAAAGTATTTGATTCTCATTTAACATATTGATCTACTAAATATTGTTAAAATAAACAGCCAGAAAGATGTAAAATATTTTGTATTTTATTATAATTTCGAACTTGAATTCTATGAACACAAATTCTTGAATTGTAACTCATTTTGTTTTTTGTTTTGATTGGTATACTTAAATTTGATCCAAATCTTTATCTTCTGATATAATTTCATTTTCACTTTTATTATCAATTTCAAATATTTCTTCATTATATTCAACTTCTGTTCTTCTTTTTTTAACTGCAACTATTTCCTTACTAACTTTAATTTCTGTTTTTTTCCTCTTAATATTAGATTCTGTACTCATACTTGAGGCAGATCTAACTAATAAATTTTCAAATACTTCTGTTGCACCAATACTTTCAGCAATACTTGTTGCTTGATAAATTGAAATTTAATTAGGATCAAATTCTTCATTATCAAATTCTTCAAATTCATCATCAGATTGTTTATTATCTGATGTAGTTATAATTTCATTAGCTCTCAAAATATTGTCATACCACCCATATTCACTATAAGAAAATAATAAAGGATATTGTAATGGATCATAAGCACTATGTAGTTTAAAGATTTTTTGTAATTTTTCTGTATGTGTTTTAAGTAAAATATCTCTTTTTTAAATTACAGTATTTTCAAAATTTTCTAGAATAATTGCTGCAATTTCTGGTACTGTTGGTTGATTGTATTGTCTCATATCTTTTCCATATGTACTATGAATTGTTAATGTTAAATCAGGATAATTATCTGCTTCAAATCCTATTTGATAAAATACATTAACAAATGGATTGATTTTATATAATTTATTTTGAATTGCTTGAATCATATTTTCATTTAATGTTGGTATTAAATTCATTCATCTTGTTACTTGATTATTTAAACTTGAATCATAAAAATAAATTTGTACAAAATTTGGATCACATCTTCCTTAAATTTCTTTAGGTATTAAGAAACTAATTTTATAATATAAAGCTTCTTGTATTCTAAATGTATAAACACCTTCCTGTATATTTGCTAATGTTTCATCAAGATTTACTTCCAAAAAAGTAAATGCAAATACTGAATTATATGCTCAAATTTGTTCTACAAATAATCTATCAGTATTAGGATCATTTGTTATTAGTAAATTATAAAGCATATTTGGAGCAGGTGCAAGTAATGCAATGTTAACTTGACCATTCATACAACAAAATAAATTTGATTCATTTTTCTATTTTAATGCATGACAATAATTACAAATTATATTTATTGTTTTAATTGTTTGATGTCTAACTTCAATATCATCACCTTTAATCTTATTTTCATTATAATTTTCAAGTTCACATTGACCAATTTTATAAAATTGTTCAATTTTTTATTATTGAACTTTTTTCTTTTTTTCTAGATTTTTTTTTTAATTTCTGTTTTTGTTGTTCAGTTTGTAAAGCTTGATATTTTTGTGTTCTAAGTTTATCTGATTGGATAGAAGAACTTGATTGAGATTTTTCTTGAATTAAATTTAAATTTAATTTATAATATTTATTAGTAGCATATTGAATACATGCTAATTGATTTGTTCATTTATGTGGTGTTTCATTTTTAGGAGCAGAATTAGCATCAAGAATATGTTGAGGAACAGGTTTTGTATTTTTAGAAGACATTTTAAGATATTAATAAAATTCTTAAAAAATTATTTAATAAAGTTTTTAAAAAAAGAATTTTTTATACTTATAAAATTTTTGATCTATTTATAATTAAGTCTGTAATATAGATTATATAATTATTATTAATAATTATTATTAATTATTATTAATTATTAATTAATAATAATGATTATTAATTATTACATAATCATTATTAATAATTATTATTAATAATGATTATTAATTATTAATAATACAAACTTTAATCTTAACTCTTTCTGCAAATCCATTGCACAAAAATTAACAAAAAATTCGTCCGTCTAAAAACTCTTATAACTATTTATTTT